ACACATAACTTCTTAGTTATTAGCAAAACAGTTACCAAGTGTGAGAACATTCAGTCCTGCAACTGTCCCAAGTGATAGGAATTATTACTCAAGTTTTCATTCATTTGTGTTTTAAATGAAGTGACTTCCCTACATTTACCCTGCCAGAAAATGATGAAGTCAGGATTAAAAGTGGTATATCAATTGAAGATGATAGAGCAGCAGCAGCCTGGAGTCATCTCTTCTACACACATAGCTGACCAGCCTTAGCCATGGAACAACTGCATTTGGAAGAGACCTGAACACTTGATGATCAGTATCTCCACAAGGAGGTGGGATAAAAATGTCCAGAAAGGCTAAGAAGGTCTGAGGAACAGTCCCTCTAGGAGAGGTATTGGGGGTACAGGGAGAGGCTACCCACTCTTGCCTGGACTCCTTGATTTCTCTCTGTTGCTAGATCATTGCAAGAGGCTAGTGTACCTCCCAGAGTAAGAGAATACTGCTTGATTGGCATGAGACTGAATTTCCTGGGGCTCTAGAGCTAGCTTAGTTGTTCTGAGAAGCACGAGACCCTCTCCCATCTTGACAGGGATCTGGACAATCTAACAAATATGTAATCTGCAACTTTCCTTGTTGCCCATTTGCAGCTTGAGTCCATATCCTCTGGACATTGCTTGTGCCTGAGGCTTAGGGGAAAGACACTGCTAGAAAATCCTGCTGAGATCAGAACCAAGTTGCAACCAAAGGGTTGATTTGCATCCACGAATCAATCCATCAGTGCCATTCACCACATCAGAAAAGGAAAGATTCATATGATCATATCAATAGATACAAAGAAGGCTTCAAAAGATTCAGCATCCACTTATGATTTAAAAAAAAAAAAACTCAAAAATGGAGATAGAAGAAACATACCTGAACATAATAAAGGCCATATATGACAAATCAGAGTTAACATTCTACTCAATGGTGAAAAACAGGTTTTTTCTCTATGATCAGGAATAAGAAATGTCCAATCTCTCACTTACAGTTCTACATAGTCAAATATAGGGATTTGCTCTATTATTTTTGGGAATCTATTTTTTTGGGCAAGCTATACAATAAATTTTGGGAGAAAAGTGTGACATGATTATAAGGATACTACAAAAAATCTATGGGTTGCTTAAGTAAAGATTTATTCAGCAAAACTATACTTGACTTTGCAGTGACATGCTTAGGAGTTTTTTAAATTTGCTTGATACAAAGATTGGTGTCAAGCAGTTCTGTTGTATTGACACAAAAACCTTATGATCCCATCTGTAATCAACACTAGCTGTGAATTCTGTGGATCTTAAGCTACAGACCCTGTATTAGTTTCTTAGACTGCCATCACAAAGTATCAGAATCTGGGTCTTTGTCTTACTGTACTGAACTAGAAGTCTGAAATCAAGGTAGTAGTAGAGTTGGCACATGCTGAGGGCTATGAGAGTAAATTACTCCTGGTGGTTTGTGAGCTAGCGTTGATGTTTCTTGTATTATAGATTCATCACTTCAATCTATGCCAATCTTGTTCAAATGCATGTTTGTGTCCAAATTTCCTCTTTTTATCAGGACATCTGTCAGATTGGTTAGGGGTCTACCCTACTCTAGGCTCACCTCATCTTAACTAATTACTTCTGCAAAACATTATTTCCAAATAAGGTTGCATTCTAAGTTACTGGGGTTGGTTCTTCAACCCATAACAAATTATGTCTAAATATTTTTTCAATAGTAGAAATGAATAATTTAAATGATTATAGATTATTCATTTTACTATTAGGAAATATATGTCTGTAGAGAAACTTAAGTTTTTTAAAAATCATAGAAAGGAGGGCCTCCCCTGGTGGTGCAGCAGCACTTGGCTGTGAAGTTGCCCACAGTCTCTGCAGTGCCGGTTCTATCCCCGGCCACCGGTGAGGGTCCCATATGGCGCGCAGACCTCTCCTGCCGCGCCTGCTGCTCCCCTCAGCGGTGTGTTTCGTCAGTCTGCCAGTTCTGTTCCCCGCTCTGACTCTAGTGAATTCTCTCACCCTCCTGCGCTTCTGACTGTACCCAGTGTTGTATAAATAAATAAATAAATCTTTTTAAAAAAATCATAGAAAGGAGAGTATAATAATAATTTCAGATACTAAATATTATTGCTTCCAACCATCTTTGACATTGCTATGGAGGCTTTTCTCATTTGAAACAGCTGAAGTAGTATCAGTATAATCAAAGTCTATCTTAAAATTGTGCGTCTAATAAGGAAATAGATTTCACATAACTATTTACTATCACCTGGTGTTTAAGATGAGGACAAAGAGAAAAATCAACTGGTATAATTGCAATTTGCTAATTTGGCACATTTTTAGGAGATCTTGGAGAATGAAATGCAGAACTTTCCAAGGGTGTGATGAGCAGGAATGATTCCTGATGCTGATTTAATGAAAAAAGAAAACTCTTTAAAAAAACTCTTTTATTTTGATGTGTTTTCTTATCTTACATCCAATATTCAATTTATCAGAAAAGCAAATAAGATACTGTTTTTATCTTTATGTGTAATTCATTTTTTAGTGTTTATTGTTATTCTCGCTTTGAAATCTCTTGTGTATATTTTTTTCTTAAATCATCTTTTAGATATTCACTTAAATATGATCAATGTCTGAACATATTGATCATGCCACTGAAAAAATGTTTAGAATATTGTGGTGTTTGAATACCAGATGTTAAAATGTTTTTAATGTTGAATTGATAAGTGACCTCCAACCTAAATACTTCCTGTAACCATAAAAGCAGTCTTTTTTAATTTATAATACCTCGTGAAACACTGATTTTAATTTACTTCTCCTTGAAAGACCTCTGAGAATATTTGCATTGTCAGCAGCTTAAATTGACCACAGAAATGATAACTAAATAATTTAGAAAATTGTAAGATTATTTAGGCATTTAAGATGTGTATAAGATAATTAAAACCAAACTTTAGGAGGGTTAAGGCCTTACTGTAGTTGGTTATTCTACAACTGGGGTCACTGCCTAAGTTGTATAAAGGCATATGTTCAATTTACAGTTGTAATGAGGAACATGGGATGTTTTGATTCTTCATTTGCTTTGCTCATCTCTGGAGGATGCAACTGCCTATAATAAAAAATGAACATAGTCTCTTTTGTGACGGATAATAAAAATGTGTCAGATAATACATGCCACATGCATATATGGTTGGCATATGGCTTTTCTCTTTGACTATGGGATTGTTGCCCTTAGCTGCTATCATGGAGCAATCACATGGAAATGTTCATTATTCATTATTAGCCACTTAGGAATGAGACTGATTGCTTTGATCTTATTAGTCTGATCATGATTATTTTATTTTAACTAGTACATAGTGTTAATAAAGGTGTTTTCAGCAGATCATTCACTTTCAAGAAAATTTAGTGTTTTATTTTCTAATCAGTGAAAGAAAAGAGAAATGCATGTTATAAGGGTTTTTTTTTTTTTGGTTCTCATATTAAATGGATACAAGAATTAAGAGAGCTTTTATTCTTTTCCTTGCATAAATTTTAAAATAAATGGCACTTGATTTTCAGATAGTATTTTACATGTAGATGTACTTGAAAATATTGGTACAAACTGTTGGGTTAAACTTAAATACTCGTAATGTCATGTTGTGATATAGGTTGATATTTAGTAGGAAAATCAGTTTTTCATTCAATGAAAGCTTGCATTCATCTCAATTATTTTATAAAGTTTGCAGAATGACAGTGGGCCTGGCTGTATTCATGGTTCTATCCTTGGCTTTAAAACAAAACAATCTTTGTCATTTAAAAATGCATAGGAAAGATTTGAGACCTCTGATTTGAATAAACAGCTGAAGTCTAATAAGAACTAGTGAAAAATTTTAGTGAAAAAAGATGAAAGGATGTATAAGTAAATAGTCTCATTTAGTTCCAATTGTGTGGGCTACCAGAATCCACACTCTGTGGCTCTGTTGTCATGTGACTGAATCTTGGCCAATCACATTGCCCATATGCCTTGTCCTATCAATTGCTATGGAGGTTGGTATGTTATCCAGCCCAACCAATACTTGTCATACCTAAGACGTTTCCAGTTTAGGATCTTGAGAAAAAGATGTTTTGGGTTTTGGGTTTGGAAAGTAGTAAATAGAAGGTGACTAGTAGCCAAGCAAAAAAAGCCAATGAAAAATAAGTGGAAATGAGAGCTCAAGAAGAAGAATTTCCATTTCTGGTCTAACTCTACATTGCCCTTCCCAAATCTCCCTCTTTTTTTCTTACAACTTAAGTTGCCAAAGTCCTGTCTAGGATTTCTTAATCAGTAGGGTCTATATTTTTCGTGTGTAAATGTGGTGTTTTTAATCCAATAGTTATCTTTGAAATATTTTATGACTTCCTATAGATATCTTTATTTAGACAAAGTTTGGAGAAGGTAAAGTCATAACTGATAAGGAAATATAAGTATTACTTTTGCTGAATAATCATAAACCCTAAATTAACATCCTCCAAATTATTAGAGTTGAGCAGCATTAATGTTGATCTATTTAAATAGGGTTTATAACCTTACCTGGGCCCTGAACTCAATTTGCATTATTATGTATTTTTTTTCTCTCTACTTTTCAAATCAAATTCATGGGTCTACTCTCTCCCGTTGAAATCAGATTTCTCAGCCTCTTGGCTTTGCTCCAAAAGCCATTCATTGTTTCACAGCCATCGTTGTTTTCAATTCATCCTTCTTTATCCACTGTGTAAACTTGGTGGACCTGAATACTTAGAAAAAATCAAAAGCATTTGGTTGTTATTAGAGTAAGGATAGCTGACTCACACATGTAAAACATTAAAGAAACCTTACAAATGTTTGAGTGATTTTTTTTTTTTTTGTCCTGTTGTTGTTTGGGGCTGTCGGGCATTTAACCACATCCTGCCATGCACACACCACTGGGACTTCTCTCTCTATTACCAGGTAGTGTTTTAGGCTCATAAAACACACAAGGACAATATTTTTATTTTCTTTTCCCAGCATTTTTATTGATTTATTTAAATGTAACATACTATACACTGTTCAGCCTTTAAGGAGGTAGGAGGAGGAAGGGATTCTTTATTTTATAAGGAGTCTCCTTGGAACCAGCCCTCACATGGACACATGTTTGTGGCTGGCACATCTTGTCATTGCTACCAGGGCCCACACTTCTGACAGAGGCAAGAGTTCCCAAGATCTTGTTCTTTTCATTGACATTAACATTCAAGGCTGGGACTGCTTTTTCTTCAGTAGCACAGTCCCACTGCAAAGGGGGCCAGAATTCTATACTAATATCGAGCAAAGATGCCATTTTTAAGTGCAGGAGAATCTCCTTACTCCTTACCAAACTGCTTCTGTCTTTATCTCTGTTGATGTGTGTGTTTGTGTGTAAGGGAGAGGTGAGGGAGATGTTTTCTATTTTTGGCTTCTGCAATCTTTGATACATTTTGCTAGAAGCTGTTTGAGTGTTTTGAGTACATAATGATGATTGTTTACACAGGGTTTCTTTGGTAATCTAAATGGCTATGAGGAATAGGAATCCAGTTTGTGCCCTATTTGCTGTTACCATGGCCAGCTAATACTATATTTGTCTCACCGAACGTTTAATTTGGTTGTGGGTGGTCTATGTTCATGTGTCAGGTGCAATTATTACTTTAAAATAAAAGAACAAAGATAACCTAAGTATATAGGAATGTATTACATTCTAGTTCTCTGCTTGGTTCCTAATCGAATTTTAACATATAGACTCCAACCACAAAAATTAAACATTTTTAGAATCCCATTTGTCAAAAAGCAAGTTGGAAGCCAAGCCTCATGAAATGAAACTTTAGCCATAAACCAAAAACACTCTGTCTCAAATGCATTTCTTTGAAATCCCAACTTTTTTAAGGAATGAGGAAAATATGGCCTTTTTGGGGGATTACTTTATGGAAAAGTTTCTTAATAAAGCTAATTCTTAGATAGCAGATTAACTGGAAGTGCTGGTTAAGCATTGACATTTAAGTTATAAAAGAGGATCACAACACACCAGCCTTTCTAGAGGTTAAACTTTAGTAAAATGACACATTTGGTGAGTCTTTTCCTTGTACCAAAATACTGTGTCCCAACAATAAACAGACTTTTCAAAACAAGAAATATGAAGATAAAACTGCAGCATCAATATAATCTTACAGTTATCACTTAAAGTATTTAGAACAAATAGTATTTTTTCTACATTTTTTAAATCACTACAGACACTGCAAATAAGGCTTATGTATTTATTTAGTGGAATACAATGTGATGATGACTGGTACACTCTTATGTACTGTTTTCTATACCTGCTCTAACAAAATGATTTTGATATGGTTATATTATGGAACCTTCCAAAGCTCTTTAAATTTACAGAAAATAAGTTTTATTTGGTGTAAAGACTAGATCATACAGTTTGAACAGGTTTCAGTATATGGTTACACATATACTAGGATATATTTGCTCAGTTTAAGCCCCTGGGAGGGTTGCACTTCATACCAAGTTCCTGGATAGTTCCTTTTGGGGGAGATGCGCTATGTGGGACTTACAAAGGGTTCTTCTATGAGCAGACAGCCTCTTCATCACTTACCACTGTGACATATGGCAAAAATTGTGAGTAAATAACGAGACTAGGTGACCAAAATGTATTTACCAATTATTTTTCCTTCTTTTAGTATATCCTTGGAGACCCATTGATATATTCAAGAAAAGAATTTGGATTTCTGGTCTATTTTTTTTTTTTTAGGAAAGGAAGATTAAGAGTGATACATGTTTACTAATGATGGCAGACATTTCTCATGGAAGTCATGCCATGATACTGTCCTATTTATTGTTGATGATGCTTTTTGCAGAACTACAAATTAAGTCAACTAATAGCACACAGTACTCTCTCATACTGCCTCCCCAATCTCATCTCCTATTCTTGAAGTGTATGCCAAATTTTGAAAACGTTTTGTTGAGAATATGCATGTGGTATGCTAAAGAAAAAGAAAAGGTAAATCAGAGGGCAGCTGCTGAGGATACTCTTTAAAATCCCAAAAGATATTTAACATCCTATTAAATAAATAACTTAGAAAGAAATAGAAAGGGATGAAGGCAGAATGCACAAGCATACCATACACTATTTGTTTTGTTAGAACAGTTTTACACTATCATGTTTACATTTTTTAATCCTAACCAATTCTTCCAAGATGCAACGCCCAAAGCGTCTTTGCTTGTGCATATGATATGACCCAAGTGCTTTCCAGTAAATGCTCGCGTGTCTTACTGCTCATTGAATCATTAGGCTTGAATGAGCAATGAGTCTTTGATATGAGTTCGTATTCCATAAATAACTTTCCCGAAGACCATTCAACAGATTGTTCCATGTCCTTTAAATTCTATCTCAGAGGTTAAAAAACAAAAAACAAAAACTTAAACCACACCCCCCCCCAAAAAAAAAACCCAGCCACAATGTTGTTCACTTAGGAATAACTTCAATCCCATTTGATCTGCCTATATCTCAATTATAAGGCATGACGCAGAACTAATTAAAGGAACATCATATGTCAGCAGTGAGTACAAAAACCTTCAAAGGCTTCCTTTTCTTTCAAGCAAGTAGACATCAGCCATGTGTCTTTGCCTTTGGAGCTATTGTCTTCATGAAGAATACAATTCCTGGCAAAAGAGCCTTTGGTTCTACTGCAGCCACAAGGATTGCTTTCGCCTAGGAATGTACCACCATTGGAAGAAAATGAGCTGAGGTGTTTTTCCTTCTGGTTTTCTGTCCTCTTCTGGGATATCCTTTTCCATTCAATGCCACATACATTTGCCTCCCATTGTGCTGCCAGTTAAAAGATGCATAGGTGTTGTATCCATTTTCCTCTATCCTCTCCTTCAGTTTACAGTCATTGTTAAATTCTTTCTGCAAGGAAAAATCAAAATCTTTTACTCCTGTTGTGAGGATACTAAATTTTATTTGCCACAACCACCCAGAGAACCCTGAGAACCTTAAAAGTTTGGTTTGCTGTTACCATTTGTATAGAAGCTGTATACTTGATATACAATGTCAACAACGGAAAGTAAAACTCATAAGCACAAAAATAGATCCTACATTTAAAGGGACATGATGCATCTTAATAGGTTATCATCACTACGTATTGGGGACTTTTTCAAAAGCTGGTGTGCTTTGACTATGACATGATTTAAGTACCTAGAATGGCTGTCAAGAAGCAAATATTCCATTAATAATACTTGTGATGAGCCAATAGAAAAGCAGCTTTTTGATTCTTTTTTCAGAGTAATGACCAGGACTCCTAAGAAAAAAATAGGACTGCCAGAAAAGGTGGGCATGTCAAGCCTGCAGAATTTACCTATAAATATACAACAAATGCACTGATAAGAAAGCAGATCTTGGGCCTCCCTGGTGGCACAGCAGGTTGAGTGCAGTGCTGTGAAGCTTCCGCAGCCTCTGCAGTGTGGGTTTAATTCCTGGCTGGCCAGGGAGCTACCCACATGGCGCAGCAGACCTCTTTTGCCTCGCCCGCTGCTCCCCTCAGCAGTGTCTTCAGTCCGTCTGCCTGTTCTTCTCCCTGCTCTGTCTCTGGTGAATTCTCTCACCCTCCCATGCCTCTGGCCTGTACCTCCATACTTGTATAAATAAATAAATCTTAAAAAAAAAAAGCAGATCTTATGGCAAAACCATAATAGTTCAAAATAACCAAAAGTTCCTGTGATAGGCGGGGGAAGATGTCTTCCTCTCTTCCAAATACCGTATTTCTCAATTTTGCAAATGATTTACAGTTTTTCATAACTTGGAATTTTGACTGATTTTACTTTGACGTCTAGAAATGATTGAGAACTAGGACACAGATCTCTTACTTTGTGAATTACCATATCAAAGAAGTTACAAATACGGTGACTACCATACCTATCTCGTATAACCCTAAAGACTTTGATCCTGGGAAATTCCACTCTATAGTTATAATTCTTTGGCTTTATTTCATGTGACTTAGTGTCTCTTCAGAGGTCTTAGCCAGGGGCGGCGGGGGCAAGAATTTATGTCCATTCATTCCAAAAATCCAGGATTTCAACCTGGAATTACGAAGGAGTAGAAAAGGTATCTCACTGATGTCAAGACTGCTTTAAAAATATGACTTCTCCCTCATACCTAAAACTAAAACAGCCAAGAAGCTAAGGAATTGGAGCTTGCTCTCGTGTTTTTCCTTATCCATCCCACACAAGAGTCTTGTAGACATCTTTCAGTTGAGGTATCTAACAGTTTCTCTTACCTCAGGACATTTTGAGATTTCTATCAAATTCCCAATTACTGAATGTGTGTACATTTAAATATCCAAGTTTCTGTGACCTAGATCAGAATTTTAAACATTATCAGAGCTATCACAAACCGTATTTTTATGTTAATATTACCAGTTTAAGTTTTATTCCCTAGAAAGTATTTACCCTATGTGCTTCTCTTCTATGAGATAACAATTAAATTTAACATTCAAATGATGATTTATTTAGTTCATCATAGGAAGAAAAGGTAAATTATTTAAGGGGAGAATTTTAATATAACGTAAAGTTCTGCATTAACAGGAATTTCAATGCTGGTATGGTTTTACTTATTTTTTTTCTACTCAGAATGTTCAAAATAATGTTTCTGTAAGAGATTATTTTTACGAATAAATATATTAATTACAATCAAGGGGGTTCAGTTTAAAGGCACTAGAAAGACTGAATTTATTTTAGACAACTTTATGTTTGAAATGAAGGTGTATATAGAACAGTAGCAGTGAAAGCTTAATTATTTTCCTCCTCCAAATGAATTTACTGAACAGTGTTATTAAAAGTAAAATACATAGGATTAGACCCCCCATTTCAAGTGTTTTTAATATTTGGGCCATAGCTCAGATGGTATGTCTGAGAAACAGAGTAAGATTAGAGCAAGACCTCAAAAGTAGAGTTTTGATAGTTTAGAAAAATGTTTTGGATTTCCTCAGGATACCTGGAAAACTTATTTGGTCCTTATATGATGCCCTATGTGAGCCTGTCCTATTTAAATCAATTTTTATCATTTATTACTTAATTCCATCAGGAGAAAATTTGGTATACAATAGATCTATTGTTCAGGGGATGATTAATAAGACTATAAGAATGGGAGAGGGGAGAGGGGAGAGGGGAAAATATTCAGGAGGGAATGGAATATAGAGCTGGGTTAAGTAATCGTTCTGGTTATTTGCTGTTTTCAAGAAGGCTTGTGGAATCAGTGGTGAAGATAGGCACTATTCGAGTTGTCACCTCATCAAAAGATTATCTCCAGCATGTATTCATGAATTTTGGTGGTATAGTCTTTATGCAAGGTTGTAAGTCCTACTCGACCTTGAGCAGAATGTTCAATTTGAGTAGATTTTTTATTTAATTTGAACAAGCCATATTTTTCTAGTCTTCCTGGTGATAATGCAAAGTCACAATGAATAGTACATTATAATTAGGGCCTGGGCTTATTTCTGAGACAAGCAGAGGTACAGACCACAGACTGTGATGGGCTGACCTATCAGGAGGGCTGATTCAAGCATTGTATAACTATCTGCTTTCGGTGTTTTTAATTGCTGAAGCTATAGTGGGGGGCAGGTGAGACCGTGGCTTCTTGAATTTCATGGTCTATTTGGGGAAGAGAGTCAAAATAAATAAATGAGAGAGATATGAGGTAAATCTCATGGCAGATAATTAAAAAGGGGTAATAAGATGTGAGCAGCTACTTTAGATATAAACAAGGAATGAAATAATTCACACACCTTAGAGCTTAAGAAAAAGCACAGTGTGTGCTTTTAAGAAAATACACAGTGTGTGAACTCCATTATGATAAAAGAAAAAAAAAGGAAAGGGAAAGAAAAGCATTAAATATTTTTATGACACAGTTCATTCGAGAGTTACCCATTTCTCCTTGATGTCACCTTTTAAAGAAGTATACTTTATCAAATAAAATTTAGTTCCATATTTTATTGTAATTAAAATAATCTACGTTTTCTCTGTCAATCTAAACTCATGTTAGTTAGTTTGACTTTAAAATTTTGGTTTTGACTAAGGGTTTTTATATTAGCTTCTTTTCTTTTTTTTTTTTTTAAGATTTATTTATTTATATAAGCACTGGGTACAGTCAGAAGCGCAGGAGGGTAAGAGAATTCACCAGAGCTAGAGCGGGGAACAGAACAGGCAGAGTGACGAAATACACTGCTGAAGGGAGCAGCAGATACGGCAGGAGAGGTCTGTCGTGCCATATGGGACCCTCGCCAGTGGTGGGGGATTGAATCGGTGCTGCTGAGGTTGTGGGCAACTTCGCAGCCCAGCGCTCAACCGCTGCGCCACCAGGGAAGGCCCCTATATTAATATCTTTTCAAAGAAACTGTACCATGTCTGTTTACCCAGTAAAATTGATGCAGTAGATAAAAGGAAGACCCAGGGCATGTTCACTGAAAGGAAAAGATGGTATATACACAATGGAATATTACTCAGCTATAAAACAAAATATTGTCATTTGCAACAACATGGGTGGAAATAGAGGGGATTAGCTAAAAGAAATAAGTCAGAAGGACAAAGAAAAATACCACATGATTTCACTCACATGTGGAATAAACAGAAACAAAACAGATGATTAGACAAAACCAAAATAAAACAAACCTAGAGCTCTTACTGTAGAATTAAGGCCCTGAGAAGGGGAGGAGAAGGTAGAGGGCAAAGTGTGGAAGAGGCCCAGTGGACTATGATGGAGGATCATGGGTACATTGGTGGTGGGTGTGGTGTGGTGTCATATACCTGAAGACATGTGGACCTACCCTCCTGAATCTTGTATGATGTTGCAAACCAATGTTACAGCAATAAAAAATAATACAATTTGAAAATGAAACTGTGAGCCATTAATTGAGACCATGTTTTAAAATGGTCTATTATTCTTGTAGGCACATTAACAGTAACATCTAGTGAAACAACTTAAGTAAAATTCCTGATTCCCCCCATGCAAGAAGCATTTACCTTAGCTGCCAGGACCAACCCAAAGTAATCTAACTCCACAATTATAAGTGGACCTGATGTGAGTGAAATGAAGGGCAATTCTATTACCAGCCCTGTACTTCTCAAATCATGCTTCTCAAACCAGTAGTAACAGGAACACCTGTAACCTTTCTAGAAATGCAAAATTTTAGACTCCACTACAGATTTACTGTGTTTTAATGAATCCCCCACCCCCCAGTGATTCTGATAATATCTAAGTTGAAACCTTCAGGCTCATTGCAATAATTCTTATTGCAATAAAACAAGTTACTTACACTGTTAAAGTGACATTCCTTAATACTCCCTATACAACACAGGGGTGGTTGTCCCCAAAGCACTGATACTAGCTCCATAATTGAATAAGTGATTATAGTCTAGGAAAATAAATACTTGACTTGATTGAATGGCATACAATGATGATTTTCTGGATAGGTTCACTTATTTCATTTATTTTAACAGAAGCATAAAACACCCGAGTCCCTGTTTTATCTTCTGTTGTAACACACTCAGTATATTTTCTACTCAATGCAAGATCTTTGTTTACAAAGTGTCTGCAGCACCCATGCCAATCTCACAAGATGCTTCCGTGAGAGTCTGACCAGTTAGTAGTTCAGAACATTGATGGATGCCAGCAGCAGCCTCTGTGGTAGACTAATGGGTGAGCAACAGTCCTTGAGACTCTGCTGACCAGTGCACTGTAGCTCTATTTAGTAGCAACAGAAAGATAATAAAGCTATTCAATGTCTGGGGGAAACATTCCAAAACTGTGATAATGATTTATTGCCATGAATTTTTAAAATAAAAGCAGAATACTTACTGAGCCATAGAGTTTCCCTCTCTTGTTCATGGCTAAATAATAGTTGCTGTTAATGGCTTTGACAGCAACAACTCCGATTTCCACCGAAGTTATCTCCAGGATACCTGAAACATACAATTTGAAAAGACTAAGCTTAAAGAGTCACATAAATTTGGTTGAAAGAAAAACAGGAGAAACTGTTTATTTTTGGATGTTTCTAAAATCAAAAGATTTTTTAAAAATTGAAAAAAAAAAACCCAACCTCTTTTATATGCCTAAAAAACCCAGTAAAATAAATGGAAACAAGTAGTAAATCTTTAATAGAATTCCCCTGCATTTACTCTGAGCATATAGGGGGAAATATTGTTTTAATTAAAATGCTTCCTTTGCTAACTCTGCATTTTCAACCCCATAAATATTGAAACAACTCTACTCATCTTAGCCTATTTTTCACAAAAACTTATCAGAGCACATATCTGTACCATGCTATTAAATTAAATCTATAGCATATGTCAATAATATGTCAGATTTGCCTCAATCTGTAAAAACAGTGGTAAACTATTTTTTTTTTTATATAGGACAATTAGATAAATGGAATCTCTTGGCTACATTTAACTGATAAACTCATTTTTGGCAAATATGTGGACATTTTGAGATAGAGAGAGTAACCCCAACACTGTCTTTAAAATAGAAAAATCATTACTTTGGGTTGGGTGAAAACCCATCAGCATTGTCTAGAAAGAATGGAAGTTAGTAACCCATAGATCTCTCCCTCTATAAGTTTTAGTTGGTGCATCTAAAGATATTTTTTTTCTGAAAATTTTGAGGTAATTAAAGAGAAGGCATTGGATATTCTACTCAAAATGCCAATCGATTTTCATTAAGAAGACCTCAGGGCTAAAACTACTTTTTTTTTTTTTTAATTTTTTACAACATTTGGTATGGTTTTCTCAGGGTGGAGAAACAGCATTTTGATTAGGAAATACCTCTGGATCCAGAAAGTCTGGGTTAGATCTCAGATTTGATTGGCAAATGACCACAGAAGTCATTAAATTGCTCTTGTCTCAATTTCATTTATAAAATAGGCAACAATAGAAACTTCCTTAGTTTTGCTGTAAGGATTAAATGAGATAGTACATAGAAAATAGAACTCTGATGTCAGCCTGATTGGTTTTCCTTTGAATGTTATCTGTTTCTTCCCTCTTGTCAGCTTCATTATTTTTTCCTTGCCCTGGATTCTTGGGAGCTTTACTATTATGTGTCTTGCTGTGTTTTTCCTTTCGTCATGGAAGTTTGGTGTTCTTCTTGCTTCTTGTATATCAATTTTCAGCTCCTTCTTCACATTTGGGAAGTTCTCTTCAATTATCTCCTGGAATATTTTCTCTGTTCCTACATCTCTCTCCTCTCCTTCTGGAATTCCTATAATTCCTTTCCTCATGGAGTCAGATAGTTCCCGAAGTCTTTCTTCATTCTTTTTCCTTTGTACTTCTCTTTCCTTTTCTGTTTTGGTTCTTTTTATTTCTGTGTCTTCAAGAGTACTTATTCGTTCTTCCATTTCATCTATTCTGCTTTCATTGCTTGCAGCACTGTTTACAATAGCTAAGCTTTAGAAACAGCCCAAATGCCCAAAAATAGATGACTGGATCAAGAAGATGTGGTACATATACACCATGGAATATTACTCAGCATTCAAAAAAGATAAACACATGCAATTTGCAGCAACATGGATGGCGCTGGAAGGGATCATGCTCAGCAAAATAAGCCAGAAAGAAAAAGAAAAATACCGGATGGTCTCACTCATAGCAGGAATCTAGAAAACTTAAATAAGGGACCAGGAAAATGAATAACTATAAGAAAGTGAAAATCAAAATCAACAAAAAACTATGAACCAGAGACACTTTTTGGGGGGTGGGGGCCGGGAGGGGAGGGATTGGGGTAAGAATGGGGCATTTGCAATTGTATGGGGAATATAAAAATAAAATTTATTATAAAAAAAAAAGAAAATAGAACTCGCCTAGTGCTTAGTGCCTCCTTAATAATTATTATAGGGAGGTTTCCCTCCAACTGTTGTAGATTTTGGAATTTCCTCTCCAACAAACTGTGTAAATTTTGAATAGAATATACAAATTTCTGTTGGTTTAGCCCATAAAATCTGAAACTTGATCATGTGTTATCATTTATCCTGTATCATCTATCATGAGAACCACCACCCTAAATGTGATTGACAAATGGTGTTTTTACTCTCCTCACAGGGAAAGTGTGAGTTTTTCTTAAGATATGGTTCCATCTTTCATCTCAGGTTGATGAATCATGGAGGCCATAGAAATGCTTGAGTTCCCCCACTGTGAAGTTGTCATCACTAGAGAGACTTGTGCTAGAATTACTTGCCATGGATGCTTCTACCCTTGTATGCTACAGAAAGCCTCTGATGTAACACTGCACATTTCCTCATCAATAGAGTGAGACAGATCTCAGCTGGCAAGCTCAAACCAAGGAAGGATTATAAAAGGTGAAAGAGACAGTATCTGTGTTTTTAATACATTTTTTCCTATGCTGTTAGTTGCCCCCAGGTTACAAACACATGTAAATACATGTATTTGCATATTTAAAAGATACTTTCTTGTGTTTATTTCTTTAGCGTGGCAGCTCTTAAAGAAGGCATCTCTAGGGGCCTCCCCTGGTGGTGCAGCAGTTGAGCGCTGGGCTGCAAAGCTGCCCGCAGCCTCTGCAGCACCGGTTTGATCCCCTGCCACCTGCGAGGGTCCCACATGGCACGCAGACCTCTCCTGCCGCGTCCGCTGCTCCCCTCAGCAGTGTATTTCGTCAGTCTGCCTGTTCTGTTCCCCACTCTGGCTCTGGTGAATTCTCTCACCCTCCCATGCTTCTGACTGTACCCAGTGCTTGTATAAATAAATAAATTTTTTTTAAAAAGGTATTTCTATTCCAAATTATATAGAAAAAAAAGTTACTGTGGTTATATCATTTGCATACAAGTGATATAGTGATATATGTGAGTAATGATGGACAGAACATATAAATATTCATCTCTGACTAATTCGCCTTTCCATCACATCTTCATCTTCTTTCCCTTTCCCATAAGGAGTCCTGTTGGAAACTAGGAAATGACTCAGTAGGATGAGTCTTTAACAATGCAATGTGCTATTCCTCCCAAAGATGTTGGCATGCCACAGAGGATAATGTCTGAATCTCTGAGGAGGAAATCTAATATAATTTGTCATAAGCAGAAGATAGAGATAAAGCAGGAGGTAGAAATCTGGAGCAAAATATTTAGCCTGATGTTTACTTTGCCTGCCCAAAAGGCCAGTAACAGTGCATTTCAAGGTGTTCCTTATGTATGCTCTTACAACTGGAAATTCTTAGAATGAAAAGGAAGAAAGGATAATTTTAGCAAAAGTAAGATTTTCGAAGGTGAATGAAAAGTCATAGGATTAAGCTCATAGCAGACTGAGCCTGGCAAAAGGAAAACTGTTGTGATATAGATATCACTAAGTCTTTGACCAATTACTTCTGAGATTGCACTGCACATGGTAGATCATAGTTAGCGCAGAAACTCCTGGGTTTCTTTCTGCTTTGTACAAATAGGAAATTCTCCAATCATCCATCTACCAATCACTTAACCAGTTAAGGCTACCTTGAAAAGATTCAGTATGCTTCAAACTGGAAAGAGGGAAGACCTAGATAATTTAAGGGCCTTTCAAAATTTGAAAATAATTTTTTGGATGCACCATGTCAATAAGTAGTAATTGGAAAATGACAATGACTGCTTTTATTATAAACATTTGTGAATGTGAGAGTTACTTTCTGAGCGGCTCCTGCTTAGAGGACTTCCCTGTTTTTCATAAAGACTCCAGTATTCTCTGTTCTTTGGTGAGAATGGTAAAGTTTGCCTATGAAAGTATTTTTGGAAAGGAGTGGCCAAATTTTGTTTGACAATTGCAAGATTAGTGACATATATATTTTGATATACAGTTAAATGTCAACTGAAGCACAGTCTCCAAGGGGAAAGTGAGTGAAGGGCATATGTATTTTTTACAGCATATATGGGTCTACAGTTACTTCAAACTAAAAATTATTTTATTTTTTTAATGTTTTAGCATCACAGCTTTAATGGACATAGTAAGTTCATTTTTTTCAAATCAAATATTAATAACATACTGGTTTAAGAGTATAATTTCACTTTTAAAAGGTTTTCAATAGTTTTCTTGTCCAAAGTACCAAAGCATTCTAATATTATATGCCTATGTTCTGAAATTATAATTTAAAAAGTAACTGAAATTTTATTATGAGGAATGGTTAAAGTTATTTTAAAGTATTGTTTTGCTACTCAAAGAAATGACACCCGAAAATTATATCATCAATAAAAGGAAGCATGCATTTTATTTTCCATTCATATGTTAGATAGTCTATCAATTTTAGGACATATTCTTGCTGTGAAATTTTATTATTTATATTGTTGTAACTACATCTCAAAGACCAATATCCAAGGTGGTGGTGTAAATCTGTGTAAGGATTTTCAGACATTTTAATTCAAACACATGGGAGGACCTGAGGAGAAGGGCCCACTTTTAGGAAATGGGAATATAATGCCAAGTGAATTAGGACAAGTTTTATCAGGAATAAAAGACAAATATAGAGAATGAAAATAAGACATTTAGTGGTAGGCAGTGCTAAGAGGGAAGTCAAGAAAGGAAAAGATAAAGATAGTTCACATTGGCTGGAGTTCCAAGGCACACTTATCTTCAGTAATGAAAGCAGAACTAAGTTTTGAAGGTTAACTGTATAAAACATCTAAGGGAAAGGTGGGAAGACATGGACAAAGCATGGTGAAATAGCATTGTATTTGAGAAAAATCTTAAGAAGTTTGCTTTACTAAGTAAAACAAAAGAACAGGCAGCCCACTGTGAAAATTGAGGTTGTGGAATTAAGTCAGACTCAAGTTATCAAGCATCTTTATGGATTTTAGATTTTGGCAATAGGAAGTATTTTATAAAAATATCTATCTTTTGGGCCTCCCCGGTGGCGCAGCGGTTGAGTGCTGGGTTGCAAAGCTGCCCGCAGCCTCTGTGGTGCCAGTTCGATCCCTGGCTGCTCCCCGGCCACCAGA